CGCGACAGTAATCAAGCAGTAACGATTGTAGCCAGGAACACGTGCAGTCTCGAATGTAGGGAAGAGACAGCTTACCCGAGGTGGCTCAGCACCAAGCGGTGCGAGACCCCGAGACTTCGTGTCTGCGCCAAGCTGTTTGGCTTTCGCGAGATGGTTCTTCCCACCTGCAGTCATGCACTATATAAGGGCCCTAAAGTCCATCAAGGACCAGGAGCGGCGCCAGCGGACGGATTGCTCTTTTCAACTTTCAACAAAGATGCCTCAAGACGGGACTATGGTACGTCTTGCGAGGATAATCTCTTGGTCATGCAACGCACGATGCTGATGCTGATCAGCATTCGTCTGTCAATGTCACAGTTGTATTGCTTTCTGCAAGGCCTGCAGTGGCGAAGCAAAAAGTCTGCCAGAAGGACGACGAGCGAGTCTTTCTGCAGCACCCCGAGTCTCAGCAGCACCGCAACGCCAAGCGACGCGCCTAGTTGTGCCGCCTCGACGACGCAAAGCTTTGTGCAATCCAGTGAGAGCTCACCGGTGCGCAAGCAGACACCGAGAGGCGACAATGCTTGTCCGACTTTGGGAGACTTGGATGACGAAAAGTGCCAGACCGACTCGACGCTGGAGAGCTGTGCAGGACAACCAAGGCTTCCTTCAGCACGCAGCGGCAGTGTTCGAGAGTCCTGGCATAGATTGTCAGCAATCAGCAACCTCAGCAACGCGTGCACGAATCCGGACTTGACAAGAAATATCAGCGTCCCCTTCAACAATTCCTGCGACTCGCTCTTTCTTCATCACTTGGAGGAGGATACGAACACCGCTGAAGAGGCATCGCGAACCTTTGAGCAGCTCTTTGCCGCGCCTAGATTAGCTCCCTTGCCTCCCGCGACAGGCGATAGCAAGGCGAAAACATTTCAGAGAGGTGAAGATGCTGCTCAAGCAAGGATGAAGGCAATGAGGAGCTGTCCAAGCATGCCGACCCTGCGACGCGGTAAGCAGAGGATGCCGGCGTCTTTTGACAAATGGATTGGGATGCTCGAGTGGGAATTGCAACAGTCTTACGTTGGTCTTCATCAGGCTGCAACCGGCAGCGCCCTGGGCACGAACTTGGGCAGCAGCTACAGCGCTCTATTCCCTCGGCAACTTTCCGAAGCAGCATCGCTCCCTACCGATCATCAAAGCACGCCCTGCGGGCGGCGAGAAAGCCAGCAGAGTCTCGCGTCGATGCGAATGGACAGTCATAAGCCTAGCGATTCGATTTGCAGACAGGGCGCACGAAGACCGAGAGGCATGTCTAGCAGCAGCATACAATCTCTGCCTGTGCAAGTGCATCGCGCTACCGTCATGGCTGGCTCTTGCGCCGTGTCATCGTCCTGTTCGAGCGTCGGCACCAAGAGCCCATTCGGCTTGGCGTCCTTTTATGACGCGACAGAAGGCCATGCCTGCGAGATGGAGCCACAAGAGTGGATTGGTGAGTGCGGCAACGACCCGGAGAGTATGGCCCCTAGCCGGTCGTCCAATTCTGATGTCAAAACCTACGTCGTCCCGTCGCTCTCCATTCAGCATGCTGAGCCTCGTCGCGACCAAACAGCTCAGACGCTCGGTGCCTGGAACATGCAGCAGCGCCATTTGCCGACTATTTGCCCATCTACCCAAATGTCCATGCCTAGGAACTACTGTCGCATGAAGTTTCAACCCCCCCAAAAACACGCTTTGTATCTTCGATCTTTATTACCGTGCGCACTTCATAATAAGGTGATCGTT